GACTTGAGGTGTAATGGGGAGATGGATGAGAAGGTGAGGATGGAGCCGGTGGAGAGCATGCGGAGAGAAATGGAGTCGGAAGGAAGGAACCAGGAGGCCGAAGGGCAGGAGGCTCTCCTCTCCGTGGGAGGAGAGAGAGGTCCAAACCTACCATTCACCCAAAGAAAGAAACGGGTCTCTGACGTAGATGTTTCAAGATGGCAGTCCATGGGCCAAATTCCAGCCTGGACAGATTTTTTTTTTTAAAAGATTTATTTATTTATTCATGAGAGGCACAGACTGAGAGAGAGCGGCAGAGACACAGGCAGAGGGAGAAGCAGGCTCCTCACGGGGAGCCTGATGTGGGACTTGATCCTGGATCCCAGGATCATGACCTGAGCTGAAGGCAGGTGCCCAACTGCTGAGCCACCCAGGCATCCCCAGCCTGGATAGATTTTATCTGATTCCATGAAATATGTTAAAATTATAATAAGCTTCCAACTATAAAAATAGATTTTTTATCGAAACCTGGAATTCTGTTCTTGAAGGCCCAGCAGCCCAGGCTGCATTGCCGGGATGTGACAGTGGCTGGCCGGAGCCACATTGAGGTGGCCTCGGAGAGAATGGGCTCCCCAGCTCCCCAGTTTCCACCACTCCCTATCAGACCCTTCGCCTGGAAGCCCCTCTCGTTTACTTTACCCTCCCAACTCTCCTGACATCTGAGTTTGTGAACCGCCTGTCTTGTTATTCCTGTAAAGGGCTGACCGGCCTCATGCTTGGATTCATTCTGAGCCAGGTGGATGGAGGCCTGCCACATGTCCCCAGGCCCTAGCAGCCACTTTGCTTTGGTCATCATTAACACAATCTGCGGCCAGGTTGGAAAGATGGAAAGCATCCTTTCAGGCCCAAAGGGAACCCCTTGGCAGGTGCAGAAGCCAATTCAAATTGTTTTTCTTTTTTTATTTGCTCATCTGAAAAGTCCTCCCAGATCTTCCTTCTTATTAACAACCTGCACACCATGCTGTGCTTAAAGTTCAGAGCGCCATAGGATACAGAGCCGTAATTAATCTCAGTCCCTGAGTTCTAGAACACTTAGAGCAATTATAATTTGCTGTCGGAAAACCAATTTGGGGAAGCGGTGGTGTTCTCACCCCTGATCAGGGCTCCACCAAATGCCACTTCCTGTCCACGTGCTGCCTGCCAGGAGAGCAAGACTTTTAGTCTCTACCTCCCTGAGAGGCGACACAGGCTGGTGAAGGCAGGTGGAGGGTAGGGGGACAGGGACAGCCACCCAGGTGGGCATGGGCTTGCAGGACCACCGCGCAACTGCCTCCGAGCTAGCTTTGTCACCCTGCTACAGGCATATTTTCCAATATACGCAGATGTCCCAGCCACTGTCCAGTCCCTCCCACGGTCCAGATGCTGCTTGGTTGAGGCCCACGCCAAGGCCTGCTGCCCATCTTCTGTCCTCAACCCTTTCTAGCCACTCTCCCTGCTTCCCTGGGCCACATCTGAGCTTCCAGATCCACGGATAGAAGTTCCTCTTTTTCTCATCATTTCTTGTTCGCTCAAGGGCAGGTCGTCATAGTGTGGAAATAACTCCCAGGGGACTGGGTCCAATGGACTCACCAGGCACGTTTCCAATTATCCGTGGGACAAGAGCGGAGCTGCACGCATGCGCGCCGGGTCAGGGCTGTACGCTGCTGGATACAGCTCGTTGGTTACGGGCCTGTCTGCCCTGCTGCTGGGCTGTCTGCCAAGGGCCATGGCCCATTTGTCCAGGGAGCCCAGGACCCGGCAAGAGGCCTGCACGAAGCCAGCGAAAAGGAACTGTGGGTCCATAGGGATGGGTGGCTTAACAGAAATGGGTATACGCATTTGCAAATATAAATACCCCAGAGGAACAAACTGATCATGGCCTGTATTCGTTCATTCATTCATTCATTCATTCATTCATTTACTCAATCCTGGCAGTCACCAGGACCTGGACTATATTGAAATTAATACATCTTGGGATGCCTGGGTGGTTCAATGCTTAAGTGTCTGCCTTTAGCTCAGGATGTGACCCCGGGGTCCCGGGATCGAGTCTCACATCGGGCTCCCTGCATGGAGCCTGCTTCTCCCTCTGCCCGTGTCTCTGCCTCTCTCTCTGTCTCTCTCATGAATAAATAAATAAAATCTTAAAAATAATAATATATCTTGTCTCTGATCCTAGCTTTAAAGTATCCATAATGCAGTGTGATAAAAGCTGTTCTAGAGGCCCATTTAAGGGGTCACGAGCACACACCAGAAGAGTCCTTGACTGTCTGGTGGGTAGGAAAGCATCCTGAAAGAGGTGATACTCGAGCAAGGCCCAGATTATTCTGTGCTCCTTTCCCGCGCTGCACTTGAAAGTTGTTCTAAGCTTATCCCTTATCTGCTTGTGTCCCCAGAAAGGCTGGGAACCCTTTACAGAAGGGACTCCATCTTTGCCGCCCTTGGGTTCTCCTCACCCGGAACAGTGCCTGGCCCATGGGAGTGTGTATGTGGTGCGTGTTCGGTGGATGAATGAGCATTTTCTGAGTAAGAAAGAGGAGAGGGTGCAGCCGGAGGGTGGAGCAGCTCAGAGGAGTGGGAGGGTGCAGGGCGGCGGGCCTAGTGTTGGTGCCGAGAGCCCCCTGCCAACAGGGCTGGAAGGGAGTGTAGTGAGCACCAGGGTAGTAGATGGGAGGGACACAAAACACAGCTTCCGGGGGTCACACTTGGGGCGACAAACTCTGATGCCTCCAGAAGCAAGGCAGACAGAAGAAATTCATGAAGGTGGCAGGGGTGGGGGGGCCCAAGGAGAACTGAACGGAGCAGGACCCACCAGCAGCATCGGAAGGCAACGCTTCACAACGCTGTTGGCCAACCAAACACCTGGGCCCTTGGGTCACAGGTTTGCAATTTCCCCCACCACACCCCCATGCTAGGCTCTCTAGAGAGGGCTGTATGGAACTGTGGGGAAAGTCCTGCCTTGAAAAGCTGGAGCAAAGGGAACAAATCCCAGCTTGGCCCCTCGAGTGCCGGGAGCCTCCTGAGCCTTGACTGAACCTCTTGTCTTTCCTGCCCCTCTTGGGTCACCTGCTTGCTTACCTGCCCCGCCCACCTGCCAGGCTGGTTGAGACGATGGACACTCAGTGCTCTGTAGATACTGCAGCCCTGGGCACAGGCTGTGGTGGTGGTGGGGTTTGTTCTAAGGCTGAGGCTAGGGAATGTGAGCGGTACCCGTGGAGAGAGGTGGCTTGTAAGGGGCAGCCTTACAGGGGATGTGGAATAGCTCCCTGGAGGGAAGGTTCTGGCAGAGGGGGAAAGGCCCCTGACCAGAGTGGGGAGGGGACCCCCCTGGGGTCCAGTGCAGAGGGGGTGGCAGGGAGGCTGGGGTGGCCTGAGAGGAGATTCTGGAAGAGCCTGAGCTGCTGGGGAGAAGGACAGCAGGGAGTGGATGGTCAAGGAGGTGGCCCAAAGCCTCCCCAGCGGCTTGATTCCCTGAGACGTGGCCAGAGCAGGAACAGCATCTGGAAGAGGCCGGGTGGAGGATGGCCAGGATGATGCTCCTGGAGGCCTGGGGTAGAAGTTTGGGGTGCCCTTTAGCTGTACTTCAGCATTCCTCACGGCCAGACACAAGTCCCCGTCACCCACCTGGACCCACCTGGACCAACCTGGACCCACCTGGACCCACTTGGAGCAATCCTGGAGTGCCCCTGCCTGCTGGAACTGGGGGCGCAGAGCAGGCCCCCAGGTCCCAGGGTCATCACGGTCAGCTTATTGGTGACTCTTAGCCCCATGCCTGCCCACCACTGTACCTCGGCACCCTCAGAGGTGCCCAGCACACAGTAGGTGCTCTGCAAATATTGCCGCACAAATGAGCAAAGGGTTTGGAGTCCCAGGGATGTAGCCAGCGCACGGTCTCCAGAGGCCTAAGCGCAGTTAGGCAAACACTTCCCGAGCACCTACCATGAGGCAGCAGGAGGGGGGGGCCAGGGCCTCCCCCGTGACTGGGATGGATCTGGTCCTGCCCCCAGGGAGTGTGTAGTGCAAGGGGGAAGCAGAGGGATGAGGAGAGCAGAGCCCTAAGCTCCCCCATGGCCAGAGAACCCTGGCTGCCCTACTGGGGCTTCCTGGGGGCACTTTCTGAGTCTCCACTCTATGTGGGCTCCTTCTTCCCTTTGTCTTGCCTTCCCACCCGCTACCATTCCCTACTCAAGGCCTGGCTCAAACAGCACCTCTTAAGGGAAGTCCCCCCTTACCCTCTTTCCAGGTGGGCTCTCCCTTGGGCCGGCTCCATTCTTGCTGTTTTCCTGGGCTGTGCTTACCGACAGGCTCTGTGCATCTGCTGAGCCCAAGGCCGGCTGCTGGGTGGGTGTTTGTCGACTGAATGCCTGACTGACCAGCACTTGGGACAACATTCCTGTCTCCTTCATGGGAAGTGCGGGTGGGGCACTGAAGAGCGTGGTTCCACTCAGCGTTCCCCACTTCCACCCTCCGGGTGGCACAGACCCCGGCACACCACAGGAGGCTCGGCTTTGCTCCTGTTGAAAGTACTTTTGAATGTGCACCAGGTACTGCTGGGCCCCGGCTATGCATTACCTCATTGTAACCCTCCATGGCCTTGTTAATTGATTGCGGCATCATCATCCTCATTTTACAAAGAGGGGCAGGTGGGGACTCAGTGACTCAGAGAGGCCAAGACATGGGCCCAAGGTCACACAGTCCTGGCACGGTGCTAGGACAGATGGCTTAGCCTGTGTGTCTGGTGAAGGAGGAGCCCGTGTTTGTCAGAAGAGGATAGAAGAGCCCCCCCTTCCTCTCCCCTTCCCCTGTATCATATTCCAGATACTAAAAGAGTCTCCACCTGGAGGCCTGTGGATTTGCCAAAAGGCCTTGGTATTGTTCCCACAGGGAGCTTCCTGGGCTGCTCTGACCCTTGCAGCTTCCCTCGTCCTCCAGGACCCGGTCACAGGTGGGATTTGATTTATGCTGCTGTCCCTTGTGCCTGCACATGGGCAATTCTTGCTCAGCTGGCCTCCCCACTCGCTGAGGTCAGGGATTGAGCCTGGACACACAGCAGGTACTTACTAAAGCCACGTGGCTTGTCATATCCGTTTTGAAGATCCTCCACCCCCACACATAGCCACCTGCGTTTCCCGCCTTGAGGCTGACTTTTGCCCACTGTCTGTTCTAACTCATGTCCTTCCTGGGTGGCCACCTGGATGGCTGATGGGGCAGGTAGGAGGCCCAGGGCCTCTGCCACTGATTGCTCACAGGGCTTTGCCTCTGGTCCTCAGATGCCTCATGTATGACCAGAATAACCAGACATGTCCTTCAGGGGACAGTGAGTGCTCAAGGAAACCCAGGGGCCATTCCCTGTGCCTCAGTTTTGGCTAAGCTGCCCAAGGCTGAGAACCACTGTGGTGGGTGCCCTTTAATTTCAAAGGAGATGCTAAAGCAGCAGGCTGGGCTTTAAGGTAGATGAGTAACAGCAGGTTGGGGACCTTAGCTCAACACCCCGCCCCCCTCAAAGGGATAGAGAAGAGGCCCTCAGAAGAGTTCCCTTTGGGGGAAGAGTAAGGGTGCTGGGGCCTTTGTCCTCACCTCCAACCTAGTGTGTCGGTCAGGGTTCTCCAGAGAACAGAACCGGTAAGATATTGTTGGTGTAAGTCTTGGAGTCCAAAGGCCCAAGAAACAGGAGGTCTGATGTCCAAAGGCAGGAGAAGATAGATATTCCTACTCAAGAAAAGAGAAAATTTGCCCTTCCTCTGCTTTTTGGTTCTGTTCCAGGCCTCAAGGGATTGGATGATGCCCACCCGCATTGATGAGCATGGATCTTCTTTACACAGTCTATTTATTCAAATGCTAATCTCTTCTGGAAACAGCCTCACAGACGCAACCAGAAATAATGTTTCACCAGCTATCTAAGTATCCCTTAACCCAGTTGAGTTAACAAATAATAACCATCACAGAGGGCTTGATATGGGTGCCTGAAAGTTTGGGAAACATAGTGATAGGAGTCTGCTCCATGTTGAAGAGGTCTGATGGAAAGCCACTGTGGCTGGAAGGGTCTGGGGCAGTAAAAGGGACAACGAGGTGCACACGAGGGTAAGCTGCCCTATTGCCAGCAAGGATATAGGTGAGCGCCTGTGTGCTAGCATCTGGCTGTGCAACTCCTTCAAAGAAGCAGGCCCGGAGGGGCAGTATGGCCTCAAGAGGATCCCCAGAGGCCCAGCGGCTAAGGAAGTATCTGGAGGTGATCAGCCAAGGCTGATGATGGAGTTCCCAGCAAGGGACTCATCCAAGAACCCATGACAGCCCCATATCAGAAAGAGCTGGATTTTATCTACCAACTCCATGGAGAACAACACCAGGTCCCAGATGCTGTGCTGCAGGAGGGGCTGGACATCCTGCCCTTGATCCCCTGCCTCTCTGGGCTTCGCCCTAAGGGGTCAGAATCCAAAGTCATGCATGAAGTTGGAGAGCAGAGGTCAGGAGAGAGGTAGGTTGCCTCTCCCCTTCAAGGCCAGTGACATTCCAGCCCCAACTGCTGGAGGAGACTGGCTAGAAATGGGACGAGACTGTGGTCTTAACTGGACTGGATGTTCTAACTGGTGAAAATAAGACTCTTGGTTACTCAAGTGATTACCCAAGAGTAGCAGAAAAATGGGATGCCATGGACCTGTGGAGACTTCATTCTATGCAGGGAAAGAACCACGCCCTTCAAGTAGGTTTACATTTTGGTATTTTGTACATCATGGACCTCTTTTTGGTATTCACTCTGATGTTTAAAAATACTGCATTAAACTATGACTTATTTTGATTACTGAGATTTTTTGGTACTATCTTAACTTCTACTCCCGAGGCCAGTGCCTCCCTTGGCCTCATCCTCTTCCCAGTCCTGGTGGGGAGGAAAATTAAGATCACTTCCAGCTTGCACGCTCTTGGGTTTAGCAGATTCACTCCAAGGACTCCAGCTTGCCCGGCAGCAAAGTAGCGGTAGTGCCACTTATAATGAGGATGAGGATGACAGCCCATGCTCATAGGGAGCTTCATGACTAACCTACATGGAAGGGGACATTTTGTCTCTATTCTATGGAAGAGAAAAGCAAGGCTAAGAGATATCAAGTGAGCTGCTCACCATCTCCCAGGGGAAGAGTGGCAGAGCTGGGATTTGAACCCAGGCAGTCTGGCTCCAGAGTCCACGCTCTTATCCACTCTTCACAACTGCCTCCTTGGTAGGCAGTGCCACTGTGAAGTGTCACCAGATGCTGCTTGGGCTTGAAATCAGAAGCTGGTGGCTCCATGGCAACTGCTTTCCCAATTTGCTCTTGTTGGGAATCGATGGTGGAAACCCAATTTGTACCTAGAGCCCGGTTTATCCCCCCAACCTCTCTGCCTGGGTACAGCTCTGCTCTGTGATGGGCAGGTCAGCTCCCTGTTCTACTTCCTGGTCCTCACAGGGCTCCTGCCTCAGTAGGCAGAGGGTGAGCAGAGGGGGGCCCTGGGAGCCCGAGACCAGGGCAGTGACTGGCTGTCATGGTGAGGGCCACCCTGGGCTGATTTGCAGATGGAAATTTACATACATAATGTAATTTGGGCCAATTGAATTGTCGATTAAGATGGAATCACTTGACATGCAACACGTACCCTGGCGGGTGACCGAGGAGACAAGAGGCCCTTGAGATGCCTGTAGCAAAAACACACTTTTGTTTTTCAAGGAGATGGCCATTTCCAAATTCCACATTTTAACAACCTCCTCTCCTAAGCCCCCCTTCCCTCTGGGTCACAGCTGGGATCTGTTGAGATGAAAAACTTTATGGGCCATTCGCATTTAAATCCCAGGCACAGTAAGCATGCTCCTGGGTGCAGCTGGTGAGGTGGGGGGGAGTTGGACTCCTCGGACTGGGGAGGCTGGGGAGGCTGCAGGCTGGGGCCTTGGGTTGGGTCCTACAACCTCCCACCTACGACAAGCAAGGAGGTGGCGCTGGGCGCACACTGGGGCCGTGGGGAGGGGAACACTTCTCAGACCCTTGCCTCTCAGAGCCTCCATCTCATCTCTCAAGTGGAGAGAATGTTCCACCATAACCCGGGATGACAATGGTGGGAAGGAAAGCTGATAGCCTAAGAATCTTGGAAATCATTACATGGCGTTCATCATAATAACGAAGGGTAACTACTGCGTTGCCACGGTGCTCCAAACTCTCCGTCTTACTCATTATTTTCAGGTCTATTAAAGTAATAAATTCCTTGCTGCCCCAGAGCATTTGCACAGGTTGTTTGGCCTGAAATTTACTTCCTACCCATTGTGTCCCCTGCTTTGCCTGGTAGGCCTTTCCTCTTTTCTTAAGCTTTGCCTAAATTGAGTTTTCCAGTGACTTCTGTCTCCAGCCATAGCCCAGCCTGGTCTTCCGAGTCTATGTTCTGAATGCCCTGAACCTGTCCTTCTTACACAGTGATAATTTGATGTAATCACTTGCGTCCCATCAGCCTCGATACCAGGCTCTAAACTCCATCCAGACTAGGATTGTGTTTGCCTTATTCGCTGCTGATTCCTGGTGTCTGCTGCAAAGTAGACTTTCAAAAAGTAGGTATTGCATGCTGGCAAAACACACTGCCTCTCTTCCCCTGGCTAATTTCTGTCAATCCTTTAAGTTTCAGTGTGCACATCGCTCCCTCCGGGAAGCCTTCACAGATGCCCCCTATGTGAGTTAAGTGCCTCCTGTGCGGGCCTTCCAGTGCACGGCCCCTGGATTGTCACTATTCATTTGTTGGTCTCCATCTCCCCACTGGACACTAAGTTTCCAAGGTCAGGGCCGGTGTCTTGTTCACTGGGGCACCCCAGCACCCAGCTCAGGGCCTGGTATATGGTTTATCATGGAATAAACCAATTGGAGGTCCAATCTGGGTGAGAGAGTGTGGCTCACACTATGGCTGTGGATGGAGAGAAAGTGACCCAGAGGCTTAAGGCAAGGAGGTGAGGAATCCTGCCTGGAGAGGGCTGGGACCTGAGACTTTCTGGCTTCGTCTCCAAAGTGAGGGGCAAGGCGGGTGGTGGCAAGTCCATCCCATCTTCTCCCTTTTGTCTTTCCGCTAAAATTGGCTCTGGCTCCAGGATTATCACTCAGCAACTGGAGCCTTGCTGTCCTTCTGCTGCATCAGGCCTTCACCAGAGGGGCCCATGCAGCAGTGTGGAGCCCTTGGGGGTCCTTTGGGGCTGTTTGCTCCCTATAATCTCTTGGACTCCAGCTGCAGCACCCGGGGATAGGCCTTGCCTCAGTGTCCCCACTGCCTGCACTCCTCCATCTCCTCAGGTAAAAGGATTCTTCGTGAGTCCAGTGGACAGAAGAGTTTTGCACATAATAGGTGCTTAATGAATGCTTGTTGAAACCGTGTTGGGAATCCTAAAAATGTCATCCTTCACATGTGCTTTTCTAGCCACCTGCTTCGATCAGCAAAGACCTATGAGCTCATTTATAAACCTAATAAAAGTTATTAGCAGGTGAAGGTAGAGCATAGAGCCCTATGGCACTCTGTTAAGTGCTTCCTTCTAGGTCACTAGGAACCTATATTCAGTAGCATTCAGAAGCTTCACAGGTTGTTAGATAACAAGGGAACCAACTCTGAGGCCATAGAACTCATCTCTGTCTGCCATGTTTAGAATAAAGTATGGGGGAAGTATGGCAATGCCTTTCAGGAAATCTTTAGGTTCTGTTGACTTTCTCTTCTCTCCCAGAGCCACCTGCTACCTTCCATGTGTCCCCTGAAGCTGATCACCTTTGTGGAGACTGGGTATATATTGGCCTTGGGATAGATACTCTGGCCCATTCTCAAGGGAGAGCACAGAGAAAGAGGGTCCCTGGGCTAGTCTCATTCATCTGCTTCTCACACTGCTCCTTCTAGTCACCCGAAATTGCCTCCTTCTCTTCCTACACCCCCCTTATCTCCTGAGGCCACGGGCTCCCCTCACCCCCCATCAAGCAGGGCAATCCATTGACCCATGTTAGAGAGCTGCCACCTTATACCCCAAGGACCTGGCATGTCCTTTCCCTTCTCTGGGCCTCAGCCCCGTGCTGTCAAATGGAACGCTTTGTGGTAGATGGTATCTGAATGGTTGTGCAGGTTTAGCATGCTCTGCACATATTACAACTTGCATTCTCGGCCCGCTCAGCCACATATGGTGGGATGTCAGGAAAGTCCCTGCTTCTCTGGCTTTGAGAGCCCTCAGCTCTAAAGTCGTGGGGTGGGGGTGGGGGCGGTGGGCGTGCTGGGTGCAAAAGCTTCAAGCACTCTTCTTACTGTTCCTTTTCGAGATTCTATGAACCCTAATACCAGTGACTTTTAAAAAAAACTATTTAAAGAAAAAAAATCCCTGAAAATCACTACGCTGTAAGGTTTGATTTCTCAGAAATGATCAGGAAGGAAGAATGTGGGATGCCTCAAGGTGGTGTGTGTGTGCGCGTGTGTGTGTTCTTTTTTTCCTTTTTTTACACTCCAGTGAATCAATCTTTGCAGAGAGTATGAAATGAAAATCTGCCACCTTGCAGTAAAATTAGAGCTGGCATCGCTGTCTTAACCAAAAAAAAAAAAAAAAAAAAAAAAAAAAAAGAAAAAAAAGAAAAAGAAAGGAAAAAAAAAAGGAAAAAGAGAAAAGGCAGCCTCAGAAAAATTATGACCAGCTGCCTGCTGGATTCACCCTGTAGAGGAAGTGCCTTGTGACACATTTTATGACCCCGAGGATTATGGCGACCTCGATGCTATCATCTTAATTGCAGGAGCAGGGCTGAAGCCAGTGGTCTCCCTGGAGCCCCCGTGCTCTGGCCCACATAACGTGCCTGGCTCTTAATCTGACGAATTCTTTTCTCTACTCTATCTGCTCCAAATTACTTTGTGGAGGCTGCAGGCTTCCTGGCTACTACTGCTTTTTTTTTCTTTTTTCTTCTTTTCTAAAGTGGGGCTGTGGAAGCCCAGAGAGGTGGCAAGAGGGAGTAGGGCAGCTTATTCCTCTCAGAGTATTCTCTCGACGTGGCAGGAGAGGATTGGAGAGGAGCCTCTGTCTTTCTGGGCCATGAGCTGGTGAAACATATGGTGGTGTCTGAGGATCATAGGTAATGGCAGGATTTGGGCTTCAGCTTTGGAACCAAAGGAGTCACTACCATCTTGGGAGCTCATTCTCATTTGACTGGAAGGGATTGAGGCACATGTGCTGGGGATAGGGTGCATTTCCCAAGACGTTGTTTGGAGGGAGGAAGGTGTCTGGAAGTCCTTGTGTTGAAACTAGACATCTAAATCCTAATCCCACCTCCACAACTTGCTCTATCTCCAGAAGAAATACACCTTCCCTGTTTGGGTCTCAGCTCCCCGTTTGAAAAATTGGAACTTTGAATTTGAGCTGGGGTTGCAAACTAGTGGCCCTGAGGTTTAACCCACAGAAATTGTTTTGTTTGGCTTGAATGATGCTTTTAAATCTGGAAATCTTATATTTTAAAAGATCCAAAATTTTTTACTTCTCTTGAAAAATCAGAAGACTTAGGAAAAAAAAAAAAAGGCTTACTTTGCCTCGCGGCAAAAAGTGGATGCACCTAGAAAGTGACAAGCTAATCTTAAAATTCATCTAGGACAAGAGACCTAAAATAGCTAAACCAGTCTTGAAGGTTTAGAACCTTCCAGTCCTCGCATACTCCCAGCCCTCAAAAGTTACCATAAAACTACATTAATCAAAACAGTGTGGTGTTGGCAAAAGGGCAGACATGTAGCTCAATGGGATAGAACTGAAAGCCCGGGAATAAACCCCCATATTCATAGTCAAGGGTGCCATTTTTTGTTCAGGGT